AGGGATTAGCTTATAAAACCGCAACGATGCAACTTGCGCAATAATCGTTCATAGAAACGGCGCCCAATAAGTATAGCTACTCACTTAGGTAGCTTACGAGAAACTTGAGGGTCTAACTTTTTATAGGTCGTGCACCATTTGTGCGCATTCCTATATAAGTAAGTTTTGTTCTTCCGAATGCCGCGAAAAAGTATCGTACCAATTTTTAATTTGCACAGATTGTTACACTGATGGTGAAACGACCAAAAAAGAGAAATACGACGAGAATAGAAATAATAAATATTTACTACCTAAGTTTTTCTCGTACTTTGTGATATTATTATAATATTTCTCAAAAATCTATTCTTTCAACCATTTAAACGTTCAATATTTGGCCAATAAACCGGTTACATATGCATAATTTAAATGACAACTACAGTTTGTTTGGAACGGAAGGTTGTATTAAATCGATACTAAGCAGTTCCATTCGTTCTACCCGCAACACAGCAAAAGACGCCGCGCGCCGCGCCTCTATATTGTAGTCCTCGGTAAACATAACAATGTACTATAATTTACATTTAACACATTATGAGATAAACATTATCGCCTTTGTATAATAGGCGAGAATCGTGATTGCTTGTCGCTGTCGCGAAATCGGTGATAAATCATCCATCTTAATCGAATCGTTTGCGAAGTACGAGCGGCGGGAATATTGTCCTACTTTTTTCCTCCTTTATTATCTTTCCGCGCTATGAACGATAAACGGACATAATTCGTTAAGGGTGAAGGATCGTAATCCCGAGCCGCTCTCTCGTCGCGCCACGGCCCGCCTCACGTGCCACGTGCATCCGCTGTTTGTGGCCGCGGTAAACAAACCACACGTTATGCATCCTCTGATGTTTCGCGCGTCGAAAGCCGAGTGTAACTCCGGTAAAAATGGGGGATTCACGGGGGACAACCATAGCGAGACGAGGAGGACCATCCTTTATCCTAAGATTTTTTACGAGCCTCTCTTTCTCGGTCGTCCTACTACGCGACACCGCGTCGCGACGTCGAGCAAAGAAAAAGAGTGACGTCATGCCGGGCTAGTCTGTTGGGCTAGGTCGTGGCACTCCTTGCATCCCGCCTTTACCACCGCCATCTCCTCCTCCGCCTCAACCATCGACTTCTCTACCCATCTTACTCTTACTACGAACGGTGCGCGACTCCCGTGCACCCTCGCCCTCGTCGCTCCGCGCCACGCCGCGCCGCGCCGCGCCGTGCAGCGCCGAAAAAAGCAAGGCTCGCAAAAGGACGCCCGGCGTCGTGGCGCTCTTTGGCTGATCAATACCCGCCGCCTCGTACGCGGACGGACGGTCACGCATGTGCACGGTGTGGGCCGCTCTCTTTCTCTTTCTTTCCCCTTTTCCATTTCGGTACCGCTTTGCCGCCCTTCTCCGCACGCCTTCGCCGCTCACCCATCCCTCTCTTTTATCCATCTGTCCCTTTCCTCGTCTCTCAACCACGTTCCCTTTTTCTTCCCTCCCTCCCTACCTCCCGCCGCGCCGTTACGCTCGTCTTTCCCGACTCTCCGTCTTCGTCTGTCCTTCTCTCGCTCGTTGCGTCCCCTTTCTCTTGTTATCTCTTCGTCTTTCGCGCGCTCTCGATTTTTCTCCCGCTTCTCTTTCACCGTCCCCACCGATTTTTCCTCTCCCTTATGCCTGTCTCTACCGTCCTTCTTCCGTTCACCTACCTACCTACCACCACCGATTCCTCTCTTTTAACCCCTTCCCCCCCGCGCCATTCCATCTTCCTCCCCCTTTCGTCCCTCTCTACATACCCCCGCCGCCTCCGTAGAGACGGTCCGATTTTTTCCTCCCGTTTCCTCGGCTCCGACATTTTTTACACCTTTTTTCTCCCCCTCCCCCCTTCTCCGACGGCTGCCCATGCGCCGCTCTCCCCCGCCATCGGAATATCGCCTCGAGCATCCGCTCCTTCTCCCTCCCCCCCCC